ACCATGCAACCCTCAAGAGGTGCTCAAAAGGCCCACCAAACACCAGAACAAATCCCAATATCCCTCACTGTCTTTGCTTCCAAAAGAGCATCTGTATAACACCCCAAGGATCACTCAGAAGACAGAGGCATGACCAGCTGCACAGGCAGCACTGCAGACACCCTGCACTTCCTACTGCCGCAGGATGGAGCATCCCCCTGAGCATGCTTCAGAGGTAGAAACTGACCTGCACCAAGCTCTGAGCAAAGTTAACAGCAGCTGGGTACCTATGCATTTTTTGAACTGTAGATCCAGGAGAAGTGGGAAGCCAGATGTAGAAACAGGCAGAGCATCCCCATTAACCACTTCACATTCTGGGGCCACTCAACACTTCAGATACACGCTTGCCAAGTTCGTCACGGCAGAGGCAAGCCGCTTCCCCCTGGACACTTTGCAAAGCTGTTGGCATTCCTCCTGAAAGCTTTGTCTCGTGCTTTCAGAGGCCAGTTTTCACGGATGCAACAGTATTTTGGAGCTGTACTATTTTTTTCTTTTCAAGTGGAGGCTGTTTGTACATTTCACTCAAACACTCCACATTCAGTTTCCTAGATTATCTCAACCACAAGAATGCAGTGCATCTACCTGCAAAAGGAGGTAGAGTATAACCCTACATTTACTATTCCATGAGTTACTAGCAACCAGACTCAAACCTAGTTCACAACAGCTTGGTCATGTTCTCCCCTTACCCTTCCGGCATTTTTATTTATTGTTTGCTTCTACACCACCCCACGAAGAACTGGGAATCTGGGTTTGGTTTTTTTTTTAATCTATATGTTCTATATTTTCAAAACAGTATTTGCAGCCCTCCTATTGGAGATAATGAGGGCTGAAAAAGATGAAGCCTTGGAAACCTCAGGTGGGAAGAATAAAAAGCTCTCACCATCAGGAACATCCTACCTCTAAAAAGTTTGTAAGAGATGACCTCCACACTGAATTCTTGTGAATGAAACCCCAGATATTTCCATGAAGTTTTATATATATATATATATATATATACACACACACACTTTTTTTAACCAAAACCAACGCTAGTAAAAATCTTACTATGAAGCAACTACATTTTTATACATTTGCATGTAGCTTGGCTACCTCTGGTTTCATACACTTGCTTAAAGCAGAACATGCTGGCACCGTTTATTCATCTTCCCCTATGAAAATAAACTCTGCTTCCACACGCTTCTACCCAAACGTAACTGCCCACACAAGTGAAGTTCTCCTGCTACATACAGGCACTATTTAGGATGGGCAGCAGAAACATGAATCACTGCAGAGGAAGAGACGCACATTAAAACAAAGAAGGGGCTGTACATCCCAACTGCTTACGTTGTCTGCTGATCACGGGGGAAGCTCCAAGTTGTTTTGTATAGCTGTATTTTTGAGAGGTGACCTGCTACAGCCGGGATGGTACGATGCTGGGAAAAGAAGATGTTTAACACCGTGATGTCATTCCACCCACTACCAGTTGCCACGGTCGCACAGTATAGCAATAAAACTGGAATTTCTAATTTTGAAAAATGGTGTTTTCTTTTTTTAAGTTACAATCTTCAAAAACCTCACAAAAAATGAAAAGGGCATAAAGCCAGTATCAAGAGTGTCAGCTCCCCTTATATCATATTACATGTCACTTTCAGCATCCTACTCCTTATTTATCTCCTTCCCCAAGAGGCCAATACTCATCATCATTCCCATACACCTGAGTTAATACTCAGGGATCAGATCCCCTGAGGCACTGCTGAACTGCCTTCAGTGCAGTACTGCATGTCATTGCTTCCCACCCCTTAGGACCAATGTTAACATTAATGATTAGCAAAGAGAAAGATACCCGTGCCGTAACTGTCCTCCAACATACTGCAGGCTTTGAGATTTTTCCTCAGGCTGAAGAAAACAGTTAACGATCCTATTTTAACCAGCAGTATGCATCAGTGATCAAGACTAAGTTTATTATCCTGCAAACAAAAAACAAAGACCAAATTCCAAAGTGGGCATTGGCTCCACAAATCAACTCAGTTAATACCCCATCAGAAGGCTACAGCGTTGGCAGCTATGTGGTATTTGTGGCACTACTGGAGAAAACTATTTTAAGTCTAATTAACATGAAATTTTTAGAATGCAGATGCTTTTCATTTATACATAAAACAAAATGCCGTGACATTTCTCCCATCCATTTATCATAAACAAGTTAATTACTGTGTAACAAATAGCTCCTGGTAGAATCTGTGTTTTGAGGACGTTAGAGAGCCGACTCAGGCAAATAAGATGAACCACAAAGTAGTAGTTAATAGCTTATGGCATACTTATAATAAAACAATGACTCTGTAAAAGCTTTTGTTGTCAAATTAAAGCTAAGCTATTTCCATTGGAATGAGTCAATTATAAGCAGTCATTATCTGTTTAACTTGACTCAAACCTAGAATACTACAAGCACTTTCATTTTGATACATTCGTAACCTTGCATACTTTTGAGAGCTGGATACAAAGCTTAAAAGGGAAACGTTGGGTTTATTGCCACACAACTTATTCCCGAACCAAGTAACATCTAAACTTCCCAGTGCTGGCTGAAGATCACCACTATGCCAAGGTTCGCGTATCACCCGATTTCTGATGAACAAACCTTTAAGCAGTCCTTGCTCAGGACCAAGTGAGGACTACACAGCATCACTGGGATCTCCTCAGAGCCATCTGAACTACACACACACACATACTTTATCCTCCCCAGTTCCATGAAAGCACCAACAGGTGAATTCCTACCTACTTTTTTTTAGGCAAACAGTCCCATTTGGCCTGAAAATGAATTACTGAATGCTGATGAGTAAGATGGTGGTAGCTGGCAGCAGAGCTTTGCGTGGTAAGATGGTGTGAAACAGTACATATGTCAATCTATCAAATTTGATACACTAAGCAATCTGAACCCATTTTTGGTCTGAACTATTGTACAATACTTCACCCAGATGGAAGAAAGAGATAAACATTTTATGCTTCAGACACATCAAGTGTGAGGAAGTAAAATTAAACCTCAACTGGAAAACTACCAATTTTACATGCTAGAGTATATATAAAGAACACAAGCATGAAGAAGAATTTTCTCCTCCATTACTGTACAAATTAATTGGATATCTTTTTTTCCTATGATAAACCACAGCATGTATTTAACTGTAGATTAAAAGGTGTTTATTCATTATCAAACACAGCATTTGCTTTTTTTTTCCCTTTCTCCAGTTGACAAAATGTTTACAAATGGCATAACTCATGACAGCGTTATCAGGACATGAATCTTACAAGTGGCGCATGCATACACAATATCCCGAGGGCCAGTGCAGCCCTAAATCAGAGGCAGGTTTGCCATGACTAATGTAAAACTACAGCTGGCCCCTAAAGCATAAAATTAAATAGAAATATATTTTCATTCAAATCAACTTGACAGCCTATCTAAATATAATTTCATATTTAAAAAATTATCAGTTAAAACTGAAATGAAATGACAGCCACTGTGCTGTCTTCGAAGTCACTGCCAGCTAACTCCCCTGAACAGACCTTCTGCTCCATCCCTATTGTCCACCTACATAAACACGCAGCACAGTTTGTCAAGCACTAGACTGCAAAAAATACTCCTCTGAGCAAACACATTAATGACAAGACTTCCTACAGTATTTGGAGGACAATGTCTATCAAACAATTTCCGAAGCTGAAAAGCATGAAATTTACTATGAAATTTACTATTTACAGACTGACCTACACAGCCTTACAGTGTATAAGTTTGGGAAAAACTGATACTAAATATGTAAACAAGTGGTGCTTGGTTCTCTTTGAGCGTTGCTATATTCTTGGGCTTGTCTATTTAAAATCCTTGTTTGGTTATCTTTAAATAGAAACTCCCCAACGTTTACTAATTGGTGCCAGGCCAGTCAAGAGAATTCCTGAACAGCAAAACTAAGACAACTGGGCTCAGAAACAAAACTGACTGCCAACTCATGTAGAGAAAAAATGTCCAGTCCTGGATTCTGTTGAAGCCAGAAAGAACACTGTCAAATCTTTCTCTCCTTCAAGAAAAATCAAAGTGACTGAGCAGGTGTTTGCTCTGGAGGAAGACAGAAATCCCAGTTTTCTGGCAGAGACATACGCACGTGAGTAAATGTACTCGGAAGAAAGTAGCAAAGGCTTATAAACCCTTGAGTAGAGCATCAAGTCCTGATGTGCTCCCCAGCTTCCACAACATACCAAGTGAACTGCCGTAGCATCCACCAATGGTTAGTGATTTAACTCAAGGGGGGCGCTTTGGCTGGGGGAAGCATTTTGATCTTCACAAATTACCTTGGAGTAAAACAACGATTTTCTGTATGATGCAAATATAAAGTTTAATTATTTTTAACTTGAAAGGGAGAGACATCAATACACAGGATAATCTATTGTTATTTGGATTATGAGGATGTCTTAGAGTTTACAATCACAGAAGTGGTTATAATCCAGCAATTACTATAAAGCTAATTGGTAGCTTCTTTTTGTCTGTGTTTTCATGTTGTCAGTGGGGCAGTAATGAAAATGAATGCCACATTTGTGAACAGAATGTCTGTAGGCTTGTTTACCACATCTCCAACAACAACGTCTGCTTTATCATGCATTTCAAAGCAGAGATAATTTAAGGATCTTTGAATTTCATACATAAAATACTTTCTAAAATATCAAATGTAGAGTTTCTTCAGACAGGGTGGGAGTGGGAGACTTAGAAGTGAAATGATGACCTCGCATATTATAGGCAAACAATCTACCTGAAGCAGACAGCACACAGACTTTGAACGATCCATCTGTATTCAAAACCACACTCAGGTAAACCACTTAGTGTTTCATCCTCCTACAAACATAATTCTGCAGACAATTTCACCATCAAAACCAGCATCTTTAAACCTCCTTTCACCTCCTGAAAACACAGTTATTGCAGAACCTATTAAGCTTTTTATTCCACTTACCTTTGAGTAACTTCTGCCCTTCCATGATGCTTTGGGAGACGAATGCTGTGTAGTCTTCTTCTGAAAAGCCAGGCTTGCATGTGGGTCTAACTGTAAGATCCCCATTGTGTGCCTGCAAAAACAAAATGAGGAAGACACACACCATGACTTCTGTCACTTGGGAAAACATTTTGCACCCGATGACTAGGTGTTTAGGCACAGGCAAACCTGAACAGTAAAGTAGTGTACAAGTAGAAACTGCTTGTGCTGAAGTGCCTATCTCTTGGAGCGGATCCATACTGTAACTGCAGAAATAAAACGGGCCAGCACATAGTTGCCTGACTACAAGAGAGCATTGTTTGTAGGAAGGCTGGGATACTGGGCACTGTCAGAAGAGGGGATGAAACAAAGAGCAGCAATTCATCAAGGCTAGCACTCATACAGAAGCCACGCAAAGGCCTGATGTTGCAACACCCAAATCACTGAGTTTTGCTACCAAGAATCTGGGCAAACCCCAGGAGGAATAAAATCCCAGCTCCCAGGAGCCTCAGGAACTTATGACCACCTAAAGCCCCCGTCCTTCCCCTTCTGCCAGCTGCTGCCTCTGCGACCCTCCAGGCTCTGCGCCTGTCCAGCACTGGGGAGGGGATGCCCAATGAAAAATACAACATCGTTACTGAATGGCACAGCCCCACACACAACCTGCCAGGACCCGGGGGAAGCACCCAGCTAAACAATCCCCTGTAACTTTGGACTGCCTAGCAGGGAACCAGCTCCTGCCACACAGACAGGTTAGTCCTGTCATGGCATTCCAGGCTCCTTGGAATGAGGTACTCATTCCCCTACAAGGAATGATGCAGACCCCAACTCACTGAAGGCATATAAGGCAGTGATTTATGCCTAAGAAGGGCCAGGTGCCTTATGTACAAGCAAGTGCCGGTGGCAAGGGATTTCTAACACTCCCGGACTGCCGGCAGGGCTAAACCAGAGCATCGCTTAGAGATGCAGGCTGCACCTCCGACTCCTCCAGTCCCCGCAGCCGAAGCCAAGGGAACGGGAGAGTCACTTCCCCAATGAAGTGCAACTCCAGGCGTGCTCCTGCCTTCCCGAAGAGACGAGAACGGCTCCCCCGGGGTCCCCGAAACACTCCTGGACACAGATGATGCTGCATTACGGAGAGAGGCAGAAGGGAAGAGGAGCGGAGGGTCCTTTTCGGAAGAGCTTAGTAAGCAGAAAGCAAGCCAACGTACTCTGCTAGAAATCACGCTCGGGAGACGGATGCCAGCTACTGCATGGGAAGCGCAGGGAAGCGGCGGCTCTGTGGACTCTAACCGTCGCTGGCAAGATGTTGCCATTGAGAAATATTTCAAAAGGTCTGACTGAAGATAACAGGCTCTGGATCGGAAATCGCCCAGTTATTGAAACGGTGCTCGCTAGCTGCGAGCGCACCGGGGCTGCTTCTGCCCAGCCGCCAGCCTCCCGAGGGCTTGCACTCGGGACACCACGGATTCAACTTGGCACAGGGGGATTCAGGGACGAAAATAAGCGGCTCTTGTTCCCGCGGCCAGCCCAGCATGGAACACAGCAGCCGCCCCCCTCACCCAGTACCGCTGCAGCCACGCTTTCCGCCACCTGCTGATGTTCCGCGGACAGCCCTTAATTTGTGGGGGGGACACCCTGAAAACCCCAAACTTTTCAGGCCGCTGTCGCCAGCGCGGATCAGGCCCACTCGGTGTTTACGGGCTCGTGAAGACAAAAGTTGCCGGTGCGGCGGCAGCGGAGGGGCGGCCGGCGGAGAGCGGGCAGGGCTGCGCGGCGGCGCTGGGGCGCGGAGGCTCCGCGGGAGCGGCGGCACCGGGACGCACCGCTACAGCGAAGTTTACCGGTAGCCGCGCACCGCGGAGGGCAAGTTTCTACCGGCGCGGCGGAGGCACCAGATGCAACGCGACCGACGGCGTTAAAACCCAGTGACTTCGAACCGCAAAGAGGATAAAAACAAGGAAGAAGCGGCGAAGGCGGCGGGAAGCTGCGGGGGCACCGCTCCCGCTCACCCACTCTCACGCTCCCGCACCCCGGCCGCACGGACCCCGAAGTTGCAGCGGGTATAGGCGGAGGGCGCGGAGAGGCAGCGGAAGCTCCGCTGGGCGCGGAGCCGTTGAGCGCTGCTTCCCCCCATACCCCATCCCCGCGGTGCAGCCCCACTTACCGCTGCCACCGAGCCCCGGACGGGAAGGAGCAGCGCGAGCAGCGCCAGCAGCACCCACGAGCCGGCCCTCATGGCCCCGGCCGGCCCAGCCGCGCGGGCTGTGGCGGTGCAGCCGAGCCGCGCTGCGCAGAGCCGGGGCCGCGGAGCCGCTGCCGCCCCGCTCCCGCCGCCGCTCGCTGCCCGCTCTGGGCTGCAGGTGAAGCGCCCGCCGCGCGCGGCCCCCACGCCCCGCCCACCGACCGCGCGGGCACGCGCCGCCTTAAAGCGACAGGCACCGCCCCGCCGCGGAGGGGCCGGCGGGGGGCGGGTGTCGGTGCGCCCCTCGCAGCGCACATGAGAACGCGGGGCGGCGGGCAGGAGAATGCGCACAGAACAAAGGTACCTGTGCAGAGAGCCAGGGAAACGGCCAGGGGAAGGAAACAGAATATCCGCGTGAGGGATGTACCCACTGAGGGAAAGTGATGTCCGCAGGGAAAGCTAATATATCCAGGGAAAGATGTACCCGTGAGTGACAGATGTAGCGTGTCCAGGTGGGAAACGAGCGTGTGCAGTGAGGAAAAGCTAGCATGTCCGCAGGAGAGACATCTATGGGGGATGATGGATGAGTCCAGCGAGAAGAGGATAGCCTGGGCTGTGAGGGGAAGGTGGCATGTGGGGAGCAGCACATCTACAGGGAAAAAATAATGTGCTGGGGAGGAAAAAACATCGATTTTGGTAGAAAAAACAAGATATTTGGAGAGAGGAAAAAATGACACCAGGGGGAATCACACCCCCATCACCCCAGGCTGCAGAGGTCTTCGCTGGGTATCACCTTGTTGGGAGGGTGAGGCCTGGCAGGGCAGCCGTGGGGTACCTGGGAAAACATGGTCCTGGGAAAACCCCTAGGATGCCACAAGGACTTGGGGGTTGGCAGGTAAGAACTGTTCCCCAGGCTGTTCCGGGGGTTAACTCTGCCCATGGGTTAGCTAAACCCTGGGCAGAAACAGCGGATGGTACAGCAGGTGGTGTCCTCAGAAGAGAATGATTTGGGTGAATGTCAGTTTTGGGATCAGGTACAAAAATGGGTAGTGCCAGAACTAGCTCCTCAGCTGTGTACATGAGCCTGTGTGTGTGCCTGGACCTTCTTTATTTAGAGGAAAACCGACATGTCAGGCCTAGTCCGTGTTCACATCAGTAACAGATAAAGCTAATTGCACTAAACTAGAGGTTTTCTGGTGTAAAGATAAAGGCAGATCAAAACAGGGCTGGAAAGTGAAACTTAAGGTCAGTTTCATTTTCACAGACAACTGAAAATGGAAAGCAGTGGTTCTGAGTGCTAAGTATGGCTCCTGCTATTTTCCTACAGCGTGGCCCTGGCATCCAAACATGAGTTTTTTCCTTTCTGAATACAGCTCAATGCCACAAATAGGAGTTCTCAGGCATGTATATTTTGTGCATATAAATCCAACAGCAATTTGCATAAATAGATGCATTCTATCTGATGTACGTGCAAAATCAGACATTGCAGCTGAAAAATCTGGCCATTAAACTATTCTGTTATATTCACACATTTCCAAAGGAACGAGACACATAAATCCACTGACGGCATCTTTTGCTACTGAGTAGATTTAATAGCATTGTGCTAACACCTAGAGATGTTAGCGAAGAACTGAGACCTCATTGTGTTACGCTCTGTAGACACGAATAATGAAAAGATTGTTCCTACTCCACCAATTTACAGTCTTACTGGATTATGGGGTTTATTCTGTTTTTAAACAAGTATTTCTGAGTTTGTTACATAACATTAAGTAAATCCCATCATTGCACTGAATTTAGCATATACCCTTTTTTGTGAAGCACTTTCACAAAGGCAGAAATAATCGAGTGACACCATCATAGCAAAAATAAATCCTTATCTGTATATATAAAATCTACATTTGTTCCCTTTATTTTTATCCTAAATTTCGAAGTTTGGAGTAAATTGTGCCAGGTTGAAGGGCAGCTGCAGTTGTTGCTATTTAAATGAAACTACAAGTACTCTGGAGACTTCTGGGGATATTTTGGATTTGTGAAAGTACAGTGTGGCTGTTTCCTTGCGAATACCTATGGCCAGTTCCTTTGACTCTTGCTGAACTACAGCTGTTGCTGTGCATGTGCTGGCTCTGTTTGATGACTTTGCTAATATGACAAGTTCTGCAAGTATTGTCAAAATAAGTCTGACACCACAACAGATTGTGAAGAAAAGGCAGAGCAGTAGTGAAAAAAAAACCCAGAATTCTTCAACATGTTTACAGTTGATTTCTAATCTGATGGGAAATTGATTTTATTCCCAAATTAGTTTGCCATCCCTCTTTTCTAAGCTGTGGTATCTGTGAGTACGCTTCCAGATATGCTTCCAATAACACCGGGTACTTTTACAAGCTGACGTGTTTCCAGAAGGACCAGAAGAGAACACAAATCCAATGTTCACACAGTGGAAATCAGTGGTTTACATATGTGCTTGTTTTCACTCTACCATTTTCCTTCAACTCTTGACACTCCAATTAATTTTGGAAGGAATTAAAGTTCTGCTAACTGATCAGCTACTATTTCAACTACTTCCTTGTTTGGAAGCACTTGACATGGAGTGCTTATAAAATATCTTCCTTTGGATCTTTAAGAAAAATTAAAATATGCCATTTACATTTTTGTACCTATTGAATTTTTCACAAACCGTTGCATTTAAGCATACAGGTCTGAGCTGGGCCTGAACATATGTTATTTGGGAGGATTAGCTTCAGACTCTCACTTTGCCTTGAGTCTGCTGGGAGACTATGAATTGGTATTCCTGCATAAAAAGAAAATAGGAAGCTCTACTGTCTAACATATGAATGCTGCAAGATGTGGATTTGGCTGGATGAAGACGTTGAAGAGCATACACATGCACAGTAAATCAACTTGCTAAACACCTCAAGAGCAAAACTGCTGATCCTAAGAGCCAACTTGCTATACTGCACAACACTCAAGAGAATAAAAGGCTCATAGACAAGACATCTACAGAACTGACTGTGCCAAGATAATGAGGAGCGTAGAGTACACAGGGGATTTTTCTCTCCTTGAGGCACACATGTAATTCCTGTTGACAGCAGTGGGAGTTGTGCGTACATATCAAGGGGACAATAGAACCCTTAGTGGTGGAGATGAGTATCAGATGTGAGCTGTGTGACCACAGATAGGAAATGAGAGAGGGAGGTGTGATCACTAAGGGACAGTACAACATACAATAGAATTGTCAAGCAGCCATCAAATATATGAAAGCATGGGAATAACAAATTAAATGGACAGGAGGTGAGAAAACAAAGTCTCAAGAGGCTTTTGCCTTCCTAGCTTAGGGCTGATATCTGAATTCCTTATTTGGGAAATATTCCCAGTGGTTTAACCTCTTTAATCCTCTGATAACTGAATGTTTCTCTGAACTCAAGTAAATAGTTATAGCCTAGATGCTAAGGATAAAAAGTTGTTTTACTAAAATCTCAGATAAGTAAGGAGAAATTAAATTAATACAGTGTGCAGAACACACTTCAGGTTTCTTCTGTATGACATGACAGTTCTTGCTTCTTAAATAGGAGAACACGAGCTGGTCGGTGATTTCAAGAGTCATTATTACTAGTTTTGATTTGCGTCAAAAGTAGTAACAAAGGACAGAACCAGACAAATAATGATGGCTCTGCAGTGATAGATAATGGCAAATAATACATTTATGTCAGTAGTTCAGAACTGAAATTACTGGGAAATGCTTTCAGATTTCATTCATGTTTGGGATCTTTTTATGATGTGTAGGGAAGATGGGACAAGACGGAACCAAAGTGAAAGATAAGTCAAAGTTTAAGAGAAATTAATGATCAGGGAAAGACCTAAGCATCTACCAGACCCAGGCAGAAACCAACACAGGAAACAAAGGATGCTCCTGTGTAGGAAGGTCACAACCATAGAGGGAAAATAATAACAGTAAAAGGCAGACTTTGGTACATTTATGTAACTTTTTTTAAGCAGCAGCAAATTACTGCTACTACACAAATGGTTGGGCACAACTCAAAATTCTGGATTACCTATGACCTGGCTCCAGTACAAAATCTAAAGACAAAATGATGAGTTGCAGAGGAGAAAGTGACTTGAAGAACAAATCCACAGGAAAAAGCAGCATTGAATGGGAACAGAATATGCTTTAATCTAAACTGATTCTGTACTACCCTGCATGTGCTACCTGTGTGCTGGAATGGTGAGAATGATACATCTACCTTCCTGGTTAAACATGATTTTTGAAGTCACATTTTCAGTCCTGCCAGACAGCGCCTGCTTTCTGCAGTGCCAAGGAATTTGAACTTTCTCTCTTTTACACTATCTACTGATCAAGTACATTGTGGATCCTATTGATTCTCTTTCTGAGTTCGTAATGTGAATGGCAATGAGGAAAATACAGCTTCAGAGGCCCTATACAAAACCTTCGTGCTCAGTTAATTACACTGACCAAGGGAGGCCAACTTTAGTGGTCTGACCTCCAATTATGAGACACACTGTGGTGTCCTCCCTGAACTATGCAAGCATTTATGGCAGCATGCCAGCAATGGCTATATTAAAATCAATTTTAAAATCCCAATTCTTTGTCTCTCACCTTAGGTGAGATAACACACCTTATATTAACGTAACTCTTATTAAAATATTGTAAACCAAAACTGAGCTATGCAAAACAGTAAGGTTTCTACTTTTTTATTATTAAAATATTCTATTCCTGCAAAAACGGAGAAAAAAAGGCAAAAGTTGACTGAGAGGTTTCACAGGTCTGTGTCATTACAATGGACTGCAGTTGGTATTAAAAAAAAAAAACTAAAGCAGAATTAGGTTTGTTCTCAGAAGATACCTATTTTATGTGCCTATTTATGTCAATATTCCCCTTGTAACAGCTTCAGAATATGACCTCTCTGGTTGATGGGCAAACATGGGTGCCTCAGACAAAACGTCACCATGAGAATATACTCCAAGAGATGCCAGGCACAGCAGGCAGCCACTCTGTGATGCAATGCTTCAGATCACGGGAACAATGAAACCCCACAGGTTTA